CATAAAAACCCCAACTATCCCTTAGTGACAGCATTATTTGAAATAAAAGCACAGGGGCTGGGGCTGAGTGGCAGAGCGCTCGCGTAGCATGTGTGAGGTGCTGGGTTTGATCCTCAGCACCACATAAAAATAAGTGAATGAAATAAAATAGTTATTAAAAAATAAAATAAAAGCACAGTGTAAAGTAGAAAAAGTAGCAAACTCTTAATCTCAAAATCTACTGCAGTCCTTGACACGGAAAGAGTGGACTGTCTGAGCCTGTTATTGTCTTATCAGAAAAGGAGGAAAACTGGCGGCCCCAAGAGCAGGGGGCGCGGGTGGTGCTGGGTGCCACTGCCCTGGGCTGTGGGCTCCCCAGGGATAGGGCCTTGTTTGCCGCCGTGACTAGCACCCTGCTCCAGTACGGCTGAGTGCGGTGCCTGTGTGCGTCCCCGAGTCAGTGACCCACGCGGGGCTGTGCCAGGTTCTGTCCCCTTCCCTGTAGCTCAGGCACCCCTTCAATGCGCATGGCCACCATGGAGGGACGGTCTTTGTGAGCTCAGGGTCTAAACCATGACTCCTGCTTCACGAGGCCACCAGGCTCCCTTCCATGGCTGTGCTCCCTGAGCAAGGGCAGCAGCCGGCCCTTCCAGACCCGATTTGGAGAACCGCCGTCCTGTCTGCACACTGGACGGCGGGAACCGGGGCTGAGGCTCTTCACAGGGAGGGCTGTCGGTCAGCAATGCACCTGTGGGAGTCCACGGGGAAGGCAAAACGGGGACTCCTAGAAGCAAAACCACCTTCATTGGGGTCACAGCCAAGTGTGAAGGGGATGCCCGAGTCACCATGGCGGGACCACAGGATAACAGGCACACGGTGAGCACCTCGGGCTGATGCAAGTAGGTTCCAGCACCCGGGTGCTGTGGATGGTGCGTCTATGGGGGCCAGGCCTATAGGGTCCATGGGGTACACAGCAGCCCTGAGGTGATGGGTGGAGGTGCTGTCCCCCGGGAGGGCTGGAGTGTCCCCTCATGTCTGCTCTGCACCCTCAGGACCCCTGTGGAGGCCCCTCCTGGCTGGCCTGGTGGCTCCTCTCTGCTTCAGACTTCCCTCTGCTCACTTGACATCTGCCTGGGCCTTGACAGGAGGGATGCTGGGACAGGCCAGGGTGACCTGCACAGTGGCGGGGCCTTGGCTGCTTCGCTCCCACTGTGGGAAAGTCACGAGTGCCTCGGGCAACTGGGGGCTTTATTCTAAGATGCCAGGACCACAGACCGCTGCCCACCCATCATTCTCCATCTGTCTGGTCCTCAATTTGCTGTCTGCCAACAGTGGGTGCATCCATCTATCCCCTGGTCATCCGTCCACCCCCTCCATCCAGTGGTGACGGAGGCTGCTGCTGAGTGGGGGCCCTGCTGCAGGGGACCCATCAGGAGGGGTGCCCGGGGGAGCCAGCTACATGTGTCAAGGCTGGACTGATGGGTGGCCACCTGGGAGGGCTTGTGACAACGTGGACCCCAGCGCTGTGGCGAGACCTCCGGGCGGACCCTGGGCACCTGCAGCTCTCACAAGTGCTGGGGACTCCGAGGCAGGCTCCAGGGCCAGGGAAGGCTGAGGCTGGTGGCCCACCTGGGGCACCTTTCAGGTGCTCAGCAGACGGGGACAAAACCCAGTGGATTTAAGAAGCATTAATGGAGGCAGGTGGGGCCCATCCCGGGCAGGCAGGGTCCTCAGGTTCCTCCACCGAGGGGAGGGTCTGCTCCCCCGGGTATGAGCACCTTAAAGGGGGGGGTGCTCTGGGGTCCATCACTGAGCTGCTGTGGGGCAGAAGGGCAGGGCAGCGCCTCTTCCGCTGCACCAGCCTGACCTGGAGCGAGTCACGTGCAGCCCAGGTCCCGCCGACGGCACATCTGAGGCGATGGAGCAGGCGCTACTTGCTGAGTATCCAAGATGAAACGAGGAACTTCAAAGACACCAGAGCTCACGGTGGGCCACTGGGGATGTGTCCCCAGATTCTGGGGAGGACTGGGAGAAGCTGGCAGGAGGAGGTGTCTCCACAGACAAGGACCCTGTCCCTGGGGACCTCTGTGGGTGGCACAGCCTGCTTCATGGGAGAGCCACCCTACAGTGACACACAGATGCCACTGAGCCCACCTGGCCTGGGCCTTGACCCACCTCCCAGCAACTACTCCCCCCCAGTGGGGGCCGGGTGGGGCCTGTGGGAGAGACCTAAGGAACCCTGGCCACCACTAGGCCTCACGATTTCAAACCAGCCCATATCAGAGGACAGCGCACGCGGGCCTCAAAGGGGCGGCTGATTAAAGGCGCTGCTTCCCGGGACGCGCCTGTCAACACAAACCTCGGGTGTTTTGAAAGGCTCGCAGTGTTTGAAACGTGTTCATTAGTTGTGAAAAAGGCAGATTGCACGTGAGGGTGAGGCCTGGTGTCTGGGAGCTGCCCCTTCCCCAAATGGAGCCAGGGCCACGGCGTCCCTCCCCAGGCGGGGCCCTCCTGGGGCGGCAGGGGCGTGCACACCACGGGAACTTGGAGCCAGACCCGCAGTTCCACCCACTGCAGCCCCCGTTCCCCAGTGGAGATCCGAGAGGCTGTGCCCACGATAGAGAGGGTGCCCCTCCTGCCGCCTCACTCCCCACTCTGGGAAAGACGTGATGAGCCTCGTCCCAGGCTGCAGGTTTCCCTGAGCAGGGGCCACACCGACCTCGGGGGTCCATGCTGAGGGGGTGCCTTTGCCTCCAGGCTCACACCCGTCCCTCACTCCGTCCCCTGAAGCCCCCTCAGCTTTCCTGGTAGCAGCTCATCCAACATGGCCACACCTGGCCTCCCAGGCCTCGGCCCCAGAACCACGTGAAACTCAGGCTGGTGCACCACCTGCTGAGCAAGGTTTCTGGGTCAGAGGGATTGGCACGATTGTTCCCAGGTGACCTGTGCTGTGGGCAGGAGGAGGCCAGGCTTGGAACCACACAGCTTCTGTCTCACCCCAGGGTCACGGGGGGCATCTGGCTGTGCAGACGGGCAGACCCCAGTCAGTGCAGGCAGGTCGCAGCATGGCTCAGTCTCACGGGGTCCCACGCATGGCAGCACTGGCCTGTGATAAGGAGAGGAGCCCCAGCCTTCCCCGTGGGCCAGGACAAGCCCCCAGGCCCCTGCAACGCTCTGGCTCCTTCCTTCCTGTGACCTCAAGCCCTGGGAGCGCCCAGTGTCTCCTGCCCCAGAAGCACCTTAGGATCCTCTCAACCCTGTCTCTGGGCACCCATGGCCCAACCCACCTCCCACTGCACTGTGGATGTGACCACAGGACTGGGTGATCCCTGGTGGGGCCCCAAGAGCCTCTCAGCCTCAGTTTCCTCATCCATAAACAGCCTGGTTGTGATGATTTTCTTTCCTTCTTTTAAAGCAAAATGTTTTAAGAGTGGTTTTGAGCCTCTTCCTCCTCCTGACTTGCCCTTTCGAGTTCAGAGACTGGAACACTGAAGCCAAGGGTGGCTCTGGAGAGGCTGAGACAGCCCAGACCCTGGAGACCCTGGTGCAGCTGGAGTCCCTAGCCAGCATCCACTTGTGTGCACTAGGCTTTCAGGAGGGGTCTCCTGTTGTCTCACCAGGCCACCTGGGCCTGCCTATGTCTGTCCCTCTGTCAACACGGCGTCCTTAGATGAAGGAAAGAGTGCAGAATCACAGACCCCTGCACCAGCTCAGGGAAGCAGGAGGAACATGAGTCTTTTGTACCCAATGGGGGCTGCCCCCAGAGGGTCTATTCCCCAGCCTGAGAGGCCATGCAGTGCCCTACCCAGGCCCTCGGCACGAGCCGGCCACCCTTCCCACCCCCAGTGCCAGCCTGCAGCCGCCTGTCCCTGCTGCAGGCGAGCAGGGCCCAGGAGCCACTCTGCAGCCCCTGGTTGTCTTGCAGCTGCTGCGTTGCTTGGAGCGAGACACTTGCTTGTAGCTTGTGAGCGGTGTATAGGCAAATCTTTCATTTTTCTTTCATTATGCCGGCGTGTACTGTCACTTAATTTTTATGTATGCAATCCTTCCTGACAAATATGATCTGCTGCCTGGTAATTCGTCTGACGCTCATTCTGTTCTGCGCTCTAATTATGGCTCCTATTCCTGACACTGAGGCAGCAGCTCTGCCACCGCTGGGTACCGCACCTGTCAGCCCGACCATGGCACTGACTAATACCCTTTCATGCCAGCCTCATGTTAGCAAATACAGCAGCAGCGAGGGGCCAGGGAGGCGGAGGAGATCGGATTTGCATAAGCCCAGGTCCTGGGTCAGCAGACCTGGGAGATGAGGTGGTTGCCAGGACAAAGCGGCCCCCACCACAGCATCCTCACATAGTAGGTACACATCAGACCCGGTGGATTCATAAGTCGTGCCCACACAGGGGATGTGAAGGAGCCCCTGCCTCTGCATCCTTCCTGAGTCTTGATACAATGCCCATTAGCTCCATCTCTTGCCCAAATGTGCGTCAGACTTAGCTCTCTGCAGAACCTTGCTGTGGAGACTTTGGGTCCTGTGCTTTGGCTCCATGCTGTCCCCTTCACAGAGCCTGGGGATGCAGAGTCCTGGGTTCTGGGTGCTTATCCAGCGAGCAGGGCCTGGCCGATCCCCCATGCAAGCCTCAGCTCAGTGGTGTGTCCCGCATGCTGGGTGCACAGCCCGGAGCGGGGACGGGCCTGTGAAAGCTCCTTCCACCCATCACATGTCGTGGTCGCTGCTCAGAGGCATCAGGAAGAGCCTGGCTCAGGGGGGCGGCCTTTTCCCAAGTTCCAATTCCTTCTCATTAATATAATAAGTGCACCAGTCCGAGTGGATCAAGATCACGCTGTCGGAAGAGACGGTATCTCTGCCCGTCCCTAATGATGCGATCCTAACCAGCTCTGACGAGTGCCGCCATCTCTTCTGCAGCGGGACAGAGAAAGGCTCAGGCCTGACTGACGGGCCCAGGAGGCAGGGGCCTTCGCTCTTCTATGACAGTTTCCTAGCGTGCTCTGGCCCTTCTGAAGCTCCTAAGCCAGATGGGGCGACTGTCGGTGTGGCTCAGTGGTAGAGCACCTGTCAACTAGGGCAGAGGCCGATTCCATCACGAAGTGAACAACCAACCCAGCTCGGCCAACAGCCCCAAACTGACAGGAACACCTTGTTTTTCACCAGAGAGGTGACTGAGAGGACCTGGAAAGACAGGGAGTCCTGGCAGTGGAGAGCCAGTGGCCGGGGTCCCTGGTGGAGACTCCAGGGTTGTCTTCCGTAGCCCCAGCCCTGGCCTTTGGGAGAAAGCATGGGTTCTGGCAGGAAAGGCCCTCATTCGAGTCCTGGCATGAAAATAAAGTCACTCCAGCTTCCTGGACTAGGGACCCCTCGTCCGTGGAAAGGAAGGGTGCCACAGAGCCCAAGCCTTTTGCAGAGATGAAGGCGCGTCCTCATCTCCCTGGGGACGTCCTTGCAAAGTCTTTCTTTTGGAGTCAAAGGAAGAGGCCAGGCCAGGTGCCCCCAGGGTGGACAGGGAAACTCCCCCACCTGACTTCCAGAAGCAGCCTGTACATTTCTCCTCAGTGTGTGCCGACGCAGAGTCTCTAAGCCCTCAGGACCTGAATGAACAGTGACAGTTTCCATAGAAAAGCCTCTTCCCGAAAGCACCTGTCCTGTCACCAGAAGATGCTACTGGCACACTCAGCTGGCCACAGGCACCCAGGTGTCAGGGGACGGGAGATGCCTGGGTCTGAGCTGTGCAGTGTGTGGAGAGCCCACTGCCGCTCCAGGGAGGCGGCCGCCTGTGCACTGGTCCGGCTCCCTCCTGTCACCCAGGGTATGTTGGCCTGGGGCTGGGCAGCACAGGGGGTGCCGGGAACTGGCTCTGGGGAAGCAGGAGGCCCTGCCCATCCCACAGGCCTCTGTGGTGGCCCCGTTTCCATGCTCTACGGGGGCTGTGCTCCTCCCTGTTCTGTAAGTCAGCACCTCCCCACTGTCGTCACCCAAGCCTCAGGCCCGTCACACGCAAGCACAGGGACTGACACACCCAGTCGAGTCTCTCCCTGCAGCAACTCCTGCATTCAGGGCCTCGCCTCCCTTTCCTGCGACCTCAGCCTGTGGCCTCCCAAGGACCCTGTCCCTGCCACACCAAGGCGCCCGCTCAGCTCCACCGGGAGGCTGGCCTGCTCCTTCTGCCGGCCCCACAGCTCTCATTCACCCACCACAGCAGCCGCAAGGCCACCTCCTGGGACAGCTGGCTCCCCCCAGCTTCACAACTGCCTGTTGAAAACAACCCAAAAAACGGAAGCAATTCAAATGTGCAGGGAACGGAGTATGGGTGGAACAGCGGGCATGGGAGGGGGAGAGCGGGCAAGGTCAAGGACCACTGACACCTCCCGCCCCCAGCCTGGGCTCCGCTGGCCTTCCCTGGAGGCGGCAGGAGGCGCCCACGGCTCCTCAGGCCTATTACTCCTTTGGGGTCTGTTCTGAAAGGACGAGTCAGCTCTGGGCTTCCAGAGGCATTTTCCTGTACTAATCCACAGAGCGCCCCCGGCCTCCTCCAGCCCCAGAGCTGGTGCCGCCAAGTTGCTAAAGACACGGCCCCGGGACTGCAGGGCAGATGGGCGCCTCACCTAGGGAGTGGGCCGCGGTGGTCTCGGAGCTGAAGAAGCGTCCCAGGCCGAGGTCGCCAAGCTTCACGATGCCCGTGGCCGTGATGAACACGTTGGCAGGCTTGATGTCTGCAGGGAAGGAGGAGAGTTGGTGTGTGACAGGTGGCCTGGGAGGCCAGGGGAGGGACTTGCAGGTGATGGGCTCCCTGAGGGCAAGGCCAACTCCTACTAGGACGTCAAAGCCCACATCAAAGTTCCCTTCTCTGGGCAGAGCTGATGCCGCACTGGAACTGGCTACCTGTGCTGGCGCAGACTGGCCTGGAGACCATGTGCAGGTGGCCCTCCTTCCCTGAACTGCGGGCGGTTACTGACACGGAGCAGATGTGTGTGCAGCTGCTGGACACATCTGTCCTGTGTGGGCAATGCCATGAGGTCTGACTCCTCGTGGGGCTCCCAGGAGCAAGGGGAGCCCGGGGAAGCTGTGGGCGGGGCTCAGGCGCCTGGCACCCACCTCGGTGCATCACCCGGCGCGAGTGCATGTGCTCCACGGCGCTGCAGAGCTGCACGAAGTACTTCCACACTGTCCTCTCGGGAATCAGCCGCTTCTGCTTCTTGAAGTACTGTGGGGATGGACGGGCAGGCCCAGTGAGCAGGCTCCCAGGCAGACGGGCGGACCATGGGCCTGGACCAGGAGGGCCACCTCCACAACCACCTGGGCTCAGGTTGGCACCGGGGGCGGCCTGGCCCAGCTCGAGCCGGGGGCAGGTCATCTCCAGGTGCCCCACAGTGGCCCTCGAGGACCTGTGGACAAGCCCACGAGGAGGGCAGCTGCCCCACCTCCTCCAGCCCCAGAGCTGATGCAGCCAGGTTGCTAAAGACACCGGGCCACCTCGAGGAAGCAGGTCCACGTTCTCAACGGCCCCTCTGTCAGGAGACCCCACTAAACACTCCAGAAAAAACAACCAAGCACCACCCCTCGGCTGCCCTGGGGCAGGCAGCAGCCTGGAGGGATGAGGCGGGACTCTTCCTGAGCAGTGGCCACATCAACGGCCGGGCTCCTGAATGCCAGGTCTGGGCTGTGGCCCAGGGCCAAGGCTGCTGCTCCAGGTGCCTGAGCGGCCGTCTTCTCCTGGGCTTTCCCCTTCAGGGCAGCCATGTTTTTACCAAGCAGCCAGAGGCCACGCTGTGCCCATTTGTCGGGCAGCTGCTCTGGTGCAGAGAAGCCAGTAGCTGACCTAGGATCTCTGCCCCACCCAGGGACGGGCTATGGGTAGAAGAGAGGACCAAAGCAGGGAGGACGGTGGCCTTTCACGAGGGCCCAGGTCACAGCGCAGCCCCAGATTTCCTGCCTAGAAAGCCCCAGGTCCCCGCCCACTCCAGGAAACTGAGCAGGCACTGGGCTCAGAGAGGTTGAGGAATGTGCCCAGAGCTAACCAGCTGCAGTACTGGAGCTGGGGCCTCCAGAAGGGGGACAGTCACAGCTGGAAGCTCCTGGCTTCAAAGCAAAGTCCCTTGAGGCTCTCTAGGAGGGGGACCTCGTGGGTGAACTGTCCCAGGCTTCCAGCAGAACCCCCCCCCAGGGCCACCCCAGGGCTTGGGGGTGGTCGGGCTGGGATATTTACACCGTGATGTTACCGAATCCTCATTACAGTGTTCACGCGGGGATGTGCACAGCCGAGTGGTGATTTTCTAAATGTCACATCCTCTCAACGTCACCTGACATTTAGTGGGAAGGCACGGAGTCTCTGGTGGGTTCTGGGGCGGCAGCAGCATCTCTGAGCTTTGCTGTCCCTCGTAAATAACGCCTCCCCCTGGCTATGGGCCCTCCTTGGCCCTCAGGCTACAGGACCCGGGGACAAAGACCTGATGGCCAGCAACCTCTTGGGCCAGCTGGCCAGGCCCCTGTTCTCCAACCCAGAGTGAGCTGGAGAGGGCAGAGTGGGGAGGCGGCTCCCACCCTGCGCCCAGCACTGGGCTAGTAAGTCAGATGAGAAAACGCCAAGATCCCCCGAGTGTGTCTCAGGTGTGACTCGGGGCCAGGTCTGCCCCGCCCTGTCTCTCCCCCGGGTCGGGGGCTGCCCCAAACCAAGTTCTCAGGTGAGTCCCTTGCAGCTGTCAGAGGGAGGAGGGGTGGGCAGGGTGGGGGACGCGGGAGGAGAGATGGCCAGTGAAGGGGGGATCCCCAGAGACTCCCCCACCGGTGTCCTCACCCCGTCCTGCAGGGCTGGTGACTGATGTGAACCCTGAACAGGGCGGCCTGGGAGAGCCAGGAAGAGGCATGGGGTGCGGGGGCTGTCCATCCCTCCCCGCCCCTGCTCTCTTGCAGCCTGGAAGAGTGGGCACCTGCCTGCCGCTCCCACAGTGCCCTCTCCTAAACGGTCCCTGGGCTTGGGTGCCACTGAGGCCCGGGAAGGGAGGGATCAGCATGGCGGCACCCCAACCCCTGCCTGCCCACAGCCCCTCTGCATGGATTGAGGCCGTGAGGGGGCCGGGCCGCAGGGTGCGACCTGGACTCGTTCTGCTGGTGCGTCCTGCCCTGGCCCTCCCACGGCCCTGCATCCTGTTGTTCTCACTCAGGGCGGACCACGTTTGCTCAGTGCCGTGAGTCTTGGGCAGTCCTGCAGACCCCAGGGCATGGTCCTGAATCCTGAGCCTGGACTAAGAGGCCCTGCGCGACCCCACGGTCCCCACCTCATCTGGTGCCCTCAGAGGACCAAAGTGCACAGCTGTTTCTGCCTCTGCACTCCCCGTCCACCTGGGGTCCCGTGGGGGGTCCCCTCGTCCAGGAGCCTTCCGTGACGTGCACAGGCTTTCCTGTCAGGGTTTGGGCTCCCTGAAAGCAGAGCCAAGGCAAGTGGCACCCCGGCGTCCGTCTGAGGGGAGAAGGACGGGGCAGAAGTGATGAGGTGGGGTGACATGCGGTAGAGCACATCTGCTCCCACCGGGGACCCAGCGGAGATTAACGTCCCTGCAAATGCATTAACATGTCAAGGAAAATATAAAAGCCGGTGATAACAGCTCAAGTGACGCTGCTTCCCAGTGACGCCTATTCCTAGGGGCCGAATTTCAGAGGAGCGAGTGGGAGCAGGGCTCAGCCCCGGTGCCTGCTGGGAAGGCAGAGAACCCCGGTCTCCCGCCTTTCCAAGTGGGAAAGGGGTGGGGGGTGTGGGCTCAGGGAGGCAGCGATGGGATGGGCGCCCACGTCAGGCCTGAAGGGAAATGTCCAGGCCTGCAGGAAGAGGGGCCTTGGCGGGGAGACAGGGCCAGCTGCGGGCAAAGGCTCCTGCACCCAGAGGCTGTGAGGCTAAACCTCTTTGAGCGTGGACTCGGGGTGCGTGAGCCAGCGAGGCACAGCTGTGGCTGATGGCCAGGGCCCTCTATCAGTGGAGCTGCAGTGTCCCTGATGCCAGGCTCCCAGGTGACTTGGGCAGTGGGGACAGGGGAGGCTCGCCAGGGTGAGGTCTGGCCTGAGGCTGCCTGTGTCACGTGGGCAGTCCTCAGCCCCGAAGGCCCCAGGCATTGGCCACCACATAGAAATGAAGAGTGTCCCCCCAGCCCTGGAGGGATTGTCTTGGGGACAGTGTCCACTGAACAGTCCCAGGCCAGAAAAACAGACTGGGCCCGGCACGCCCTGTGCCCACTGCTGGCATCTCAGGCAAGCCTCTCAACCTCTCTGGGCTCAGATTTCCCCTCCTATAAAATGAGGCAATGGGACCCCCCCACCCAAGGCACTTTTCTGGAACCTGTGAGATGGGGTCTGATCTATGGGGTGCTGTCCCTGCTCTTTTTGTGAGGCAGAGTGACCCCCTGTGCCCTGGATAGGCTGGGGCAGTGTGGGTGCACAGAGTAGCCCTCACCAGCCACCCCCTGCCCAAGCATGGCCTCTGCCTTTGTTGGTGCCTGCTGGGCTCTGTCGAGGGACATGCTTCTCAGCTGCCCACGGCGGCTGGGGGTGGAGCCTGCAGATCCCACCAGGCCAGGGCTGAGGCCAGGGCAGTGAGGACTGGGGGCCAAGAGGCTGCTGACCTGGGCCCCAGGTCTGGACAGCCCCCGAAGCGCTCCCTGGCACCCTGACCTTGATCATCTGCGAGAGGTCCCCGGCGTCGGCCAGCTCCAGCACGATGTTCAGCTCGTTGTCCTCGATGAACGAGTCCAGATATTTGATGATGTTCGGATGGTTCAGTTGCTGCAGCAGGAGAGAGAGAGCGAGCGAGTTGACATCCCTGACGGACGGACGGCCCAGCCCAACGCCTGCCCTGCGGGCTCAGGAGGACGAGCGCCCAGGGAAAGGTCTGCACAGGGAGTCGGCAGACCTGGGTGATGCTGGGAAAGCCGTGGGTGTCCCTGAGTCTCAGTTTCCTCACCTGTAAGATGGGCGTGTTTTGAGGAGGGCTGGGAAGGGGAGTGGGCTAAGAACCTGGAACTCCCCACAGCACTGGTGGAGAGCTGAGGGGGCAGGTGGCAAGTGGCAGGGGGCACTCCTGAATATCTGTCCCCATCTCCTGATTCCCTCAGTGCGCAGACCCGGCCTCCAGCTCCCACGCCGGAGCCCGTGCTGGCTGAAGTGGTCGTGGGAGCCCACGCAGGACGCACCCCAGGGGCTGGAGCAGAGCGGAGCCCCTGGTGACTGAGTCCAGGAGGTGGGAGCAGCGGGACCCCAACCCCTCCATGATGTGCCCAGCCCTGTCCACACACCAGCCCAGCCAGAACCCCCGAGAGCAGCTTCTAAAAGGCTGACATCTCGGGAGAGGGACGTGCGCCTATGCTGCGAGCCGACGGTCCCCAGAATCTAGACTGGGGGACCTGGGCCGACACAGCAGAGCCACGCTGTCTCTGAGTGCAATCGTGCAGCCCGCCAACAGGGACTCCTGCCTGGCCCAGAACACTCACCTTCAGGAGGCCGATCTCCTTGACGCAGTCCTGTCTGGCCTTGGCGTCCATCATCTCAAAGATCTCGACAGGAGGAAAGAGCCGGTTAGACCCCAGCCCGGGAGTCACAGCCGGCATTCAGGTCCCAGCTCTCCTGCCTCCTTGCCAAGGGACCCCCAAGAGCAAGAGCTCCCTCTGACTGAGCACCCACAAGCCCGGTGCTGCACTAATGGTGTCACCCCTAATCCCAGAACCACTCCTGGGATGGAGTCACTGTACCCAACTCAGAGGAGGGGACTGAAGCCCCGGGACCAGCGAATTGCTGTGGCCACACACTGTGAGTGGCATGAGCTCAGAGCCTCTGTTTCTCCCTCTGCTTACGGGGCTAACAGCCCAGCCTGTGTGGTGTGGATCACTGTGTCCCCGAGTCCCCAGTCCCCCTTGAGCTCACTCAGCAGGGTCCTCCCGGCGCACACCGCAGCAGGCCCGATGTGGCCCTCGCCACGGCACCGGAGAGGCTGACGGCCCAGGCGAGCTCTGGGAAGGCCCCCAAACAGGCCCTCGGACACAGGCGCCGCTGCCCCCCAGCGTCCTGAGACACACAAGGGTCACAGGTCTATAGGACACCATTAAGTCGCCCCCTGTCCCCCTCCTGGGACTGGTGGTCTGAGCTGCCTCTCCCCTGCTGGACAGAGGCGGCCCAGGCTGCTCGCCTCGCTCTTTAAGGACCCATGAGCAAACGGTGGCGCCCGGGAAGCTCCGCAGGATTCACTGTTGCTCACTGCCAGTGTGCACTGGGCCTGGCTTCGCCAGGGGACACCTTTCCTCCATTTGGAAGGGACGCAGAGGGCAGGAAGGACCCTTGGAGCCCAAAACCATGGAACGAGCTCAGGCACGGGGCCAGTCACATGCAGGCCAGATCTCTGCTCCCCCGAACTGCCTGTGGCCTGGGGAGCCACTTTGTCTGTACTGTTTTCACTCCACGCACAGGTGATGCAAGGTCCATGCATTCTGAGCATGTCTCAGTATACAGCAGGGACTCAATGCATGCTTATTTTTCTTGTCCTTTATGGTTCACAGTGAGCATCCGTCCCTGAGCCCCCTGGCTCTCCCAGTGGCTGGGTGGCTGGACACTGACTTCTGTGTCCCCAGAGGGGCGGGGGGCGCCCCGGCCAGGGCGGCAGTGTCAAGGTGCACAGCCCACCCCCAGGGCTGCGGCTCACCTGCACTTTCTTCAGAGCCACCGTCTTCCTGTCCAGCAGGCAGGTGGCCTTATAGACCTCACTGAACTGTCCTCGGCCTATCTTCTTCTCAATCTGGAAGTCTGCCAGTGAGCAGCGAAAAGACAGGGTGCTGGGGTGTCTCTGCAGGGGAACAGAAGGTGGGTGACCAGACGGCTGGAGTGGAGGTTCTCTGGGTCCCCTGCACCTCAACAGCACCTCCCGAAGGTGAAGGAGGCTCTGTTTGCCAACGCCACCATCAGAGCCTCCAAGGAGCCCCCAGGCATGGGACTCTTCACCCTGGTCCCCAGAGCTGTGCCCAACAGCCCGAGGCACGTGAGACATGGCCCCCTGGCCCCACCACGGGTCATCATCCTTCATATTGAAAACTGACCCCAGAAGCCTGGCCTTTGGTCCTGGGGTCCTTAGCCACCCTGATCATCCTTGACTCTCTGATACGCAGGTCAGGCCCAGCGAGCAGGGCGTGTGTGAGGGGTGCAGGACACGGCTCTGGCTCACTCTGGTCCCACCAGCCCCAGACCCTGCAATCAGCACCAGAAACAGCAGGGCCCTCCCTGGGGGGGGCCACCCCCAGCTCAGAGTCCCACTGAGCTTCAAGCCCACAGCCCTACATTCTGAGCTCCCCTTATGGTGACCCAAACCAGAGACTTCATGGTGACTGTAGGGCCAGCACTGAAACCTCTGATTGAGCTATAGCGCCTGCCCAAGGACGAAGCTGCCAGCAGAGGCCCCTGTGGCCAGCTGCCCCTCCATGGTATGTGTGCAAATACCCCCCTGGGAAGGCAGAGGGGGCCCAATGCCGGGCTCAGGTGGGGAGGCAATGCCACACCCCTGATCAGCCCCACACCCCCAGGTGAGGTGGCCCCTGTATGTCCACACTTGACCTATGAGGAACCCGGGGGTGCAGAGGGACAGCCCTGGCCACGTCACACAGCTCTACACAGCCTTCCCTGGTGGTTTTGGACAGAGCCTCACTCTCTCCTCCAATAGTCCTGCTGTGGGGAAGGAGGTCACTGACACTGGGGACCACCTCCCCAGCTGAGTGGTGACATGGGACAAGGACTGGGTCTCAGTATCACCCAGAATAAAAATACTTAAAGTAACCAGTTTGGTGTGACCGACAGTGGGTATGGGCTTGGTGCATGGCTGTGGGGCCAGATGAGCTGGCCTCAGTCCTGGTCCAGCCGCCTGCTGGCAGGAGGCCTTGGGCGGCTGCCCAGCCCCTCTGGACCTTGACTTCCCTGTCTACCAATGGAGACAGGAGAAGCATCCATTTGAGAAGATCATGTGAGGTAGCCAGGCTCCGTGTTCCTCACCAGCCTGGCACCCAGAGGTGTTCAGTGGCCACTGTTATGGTCACTGACCGGCCAGCGCAGGGTGGCCGCAGCCCAAGCTCTGGGCGGCTCCTAGTCCTGCTCCAAGCCTTCTGCTCAGCTGCGCGGTGGGGCTGGTGCCAAGGAAGCTCCGAGGACACGCTTCTGCCGGTTGTGAAAGATGAAAGCCCGCGGCTGCCCACAGTCACGCGCTCCTTTTCCCAGCAACATAAAAGCTGGATGACCTTGACTTTGAAGTCTTGGGGCGTAATTACCTCTCATGATGGGTGGTTTGGGGACGTCCCTGCCTGGAGACCCGTGTGGGAGGAAGATGATGATTCCACCCACCCCATGCGGAGGTCTGTTGGGGAGAAGCCTCAACAGGACCCTGAGCCTCGTCGGCACCCGTGTGCCACCTCAGAGGCCTGCCAGGCACCGTGCCCATGTGCCATCACGCCGGCTACTAAGACCCTAGTTGCCACCGCACTGGCTCCTCAGATGGACCCTCTGGGGCCTTGCTGCGGTTGCCACCTCAGGAAGCGGGCTTGGTCAGGAAGGGAAGCAGTGGCTGCTGCAGATCTGACCCTGGACTGAGGACCGTGCCTCCTGCTGACAGGGCGGACTCTCTACTCAGACACCCCAGCTTTTCCTCCAAGACCCTGCAACCAGCCAGGCCAGCTGCCGGCTGCCCAGTCACCTGAGCCCTTCCTATGCCTTGACCATAGGCTTCCCCAGCAGGGGCCTCTGTCTCAGTCCCCTCAGTGTCCCCTGTGCCTACACTGAGTGCTCTGAGGCATGTATGCTGGATGACACTGGGGAATATGCTCAGAACAGCGGGGCACAACAGCAGGGCCCCGTGACCAGGCACTGTCACCTTCAGGACCACAGCTGGATCACACTCTCAGAAACAGCCACAGCGGCTCTTGGAACTTGGAAGACCCACACGTCTTTATGCGATGCCAACACCAGGTGCACATGGGCGCCCGGTGGCAGTCCCTGCAGCTGCAGAGCTTCTCCGGCCCAACAGCCTGCAGGCGGGCGGCTGACCCGTTATAAACCAGGAGGGAGTCAGAGGCTGGGCTGCAGAGCTCGTCTGAGGAGCTGGGACCCACTCCTGTTTGACCAACAGCCAGCTGTGCTACGGGCCACTCGGGGTGGTCCCTCCTCTCTTGGCCTCAGTTTCCCCCAGGACAATGGGTTAGCAGTGATCTCCGAGGGCCCTTGCTCTGGGGGAAGGGTGGGCTTCTCACTGTGAGGAGTGGGCGCTGGCTGGGCTCCCCAGCACTGTGCCCAGGCCGAGAAGCCACTCTGCCCAGCTCCCAGCAGTCTGAAGGCTCCAAATGGAAGTGGGTGACTGCTGGCCTGGGGAGACCTGGCTGCATGTCTCACATGTGACCAGATCTGCACCTCCCGTCACAACCCATGCGACCCAATTAGAGGAACACCTCATGGCACAGCCCGGGCAGGCCCACCGTGCACTCAGGGCACAGTCCAGCCAGCTCTGGGGGCCAATGCTGCCCACAGAGGGTGGGAATAGAGGCCTGTCCCCGGAGGGCTTCTGCCCAGGTGTGGGGCATCTCCGGACACAGGGCTCCCAGGTGCACTGTCCTGGCACTCGAGTGACCCTGGACTAGTCATCCGTTCAGAGGGATGTGACAGCTGCCCCTGGGTTCTCGGAGGACTCCAGGCGATGAGGTGGCAGTGAGTCTGTGGGGCTCTCCCCACGGGGCAGACGGGGGCTGGTCCCAGGGCAGCTCCCACTGGGCACACGGAGCACCTCATCACCTTCAGAAAAAGGTCACCTGTTGCTTACTATCCCCTGTCCTGGCTCCTGTGGATAGAGGATGCCCCCCTAGAGACCGTCTCACAAACAAACCAAAACATCCCCTGCCCTGGCACATGCTGGCAGGGAGCAGCCACCACTGTGGCTCTGTCAGTGAGTCCGATGCTGGGCCCTGGAGCCATGGCTTCAAACCCTGGCTCTGCCACCTCTGGGCTGAGGACAAGTGCTTCTGGGTCTCAGTTTCCTCATCTGTATAACTGAGAGTATATTACATCAATAGCAAGCGAAGTACGGGTGGGGGGCCTGGCGCCTAGAGAGAGTGGCATATGAACCTTTGTGACCATTGCTATGGTTCCTGCTTCTGTGGCTGTGGAGGGGCGAAGGCTTCCCAGGGGCTGGGGGTGAACTGAGTGGGGCTGTGTGGTCCCGTGGGCAGCTCTGTGGGTTCTTGGCTGTGGCTCTCATCTCCCTCCTTGTCCCCACCCCATGGAGGGTCTGCTGACTTGGCTTGTAGCCACCTCAGGACTTGCAGGTGAGGGATGCAGCCTTGTGACTTCGTGGCCTCTTGCCCAGAACTGTTTGCCAAGCGGCCTTGCTAAACAGCTGCCCTGGGCCTCCCACCTGGGGCTGGGCTGCGGGCTACTTGTGGGACAACACCCCAGGAGGCCATTTCTGCCTCCCGTGTCCCTGCACCAGGGTGTCATGCCCCTCAAGTTCTCCTGCAAAGGTAGAAAAAATGGGCTCAAGGTGCCAGGAAGGGGACCCAGGGAGGAGGCTTGAGCGGCACCTGAGGCGGGGGAGATGGAGAAGCCTCAGGGAGCAATGACCTTGGACAGCAGGAGGACCTGGCAGACAGGAGCCAGGGGGACACTGAGACCCCTGAGTCACCTCTAGTCCCAAAGGCACCTTCCCTAGAAATGCCACCAGCTTCCTCTGGCCGAGTGGGGCTCAAGGAGACCGGAGGGTGGGGTGTCTCCAACCAGCACAGGCTGCCCCACTCCCGAGAGCTCTGAAAAGCTCTTCTTCAAATCACATCAAATTAGGCCACAAACACCCCCCACCCTTTTGCTAATTTGAGTTTAAAATGTTTGAACCACAATAAGCCTTAGCCATCGACAAATCCTTTAAAAAAAAATAGGAGCATAAAATTACATGTTAAAAGAATAAAAATGCATTCGCCCAATTAATTTTCTGAAATCTCATTAAAAAATTTAGCCTGACTAAGTCAGACTTCTGACCTGAATTTTAATCATCTTTACACTGGATGGGCCTCTTTTCCTTGATATTTGCAATGCACCATTAATTTTAAGGCAACTGTTCCTATGATTTTAAAAAGCACACTTCATCAGACTGACATTTCCTGTAAACGAATTTCACCTTTAAAGGCATCTGACACCGCGTCCAGGGGAACTTCTGACGGGCTGGGTCCATGTGTGTACAGGGAATGTCTGGAACCCGCGCTGCCCAGGGAGGGGCCTGAGTTACAGAGACCACATCCTTGGAGCCCTCGAGGCCAGCCCCGCTCAGCGCCCCGCCATCTGGCTAATTCAAAGCAGAGGCCGATCTTCACTCTCAGACCTGGTGGCCTGAAGACACCCTCTGGGGCCACAGAGACCAGGGCTGAATTCAGACTCTGTCACATTTCAGTTTCTTTCCCTACAAATGAAGCACTGAGTGGGACCTGCTTCTCTGAGTCGTCAGGAGGACTGAATGAGATGGGTGCCACCACCGTGTCCCAACCTGGGAGCTGGCACAGAGCCCCACAGGCCATCGGCTCATGGGAGCAGTGATGTCCACAGCACGGACTGCTAATGACAGACCTCGGGTCACCTAAAGTGACTGCGGTTGCTCCCTCAGGACGATCCTTATTAACCCACCTCAAAGAAACCTGAGCCCACACCCGTGGATGAAATCTGGAACCTGCTTCCAACACTGCCCAGCCCAGAGCTGAGGGGAGAAACCACAGAGCCACCCAGCACTCAACCAGAAGGCTGGCGCAGCCTGTCTCTGCTCTCCTTCCATCTGGTCACCAAGTGCAGCTGGCGTTTCCCCATGGACATCTCTGGAATCCTCCCTCCCCAGGCTCAGCCCCTGCAGCCCCAGGACTGGTCACCATGGATCTTCGAAGTCCCAGTGGGCTCCTCACTCATGCAGACTCAATTTCACGTGGTGTAGCACAGATCTGAGATCTTCCAACTTATCTCGGCACAGGACTGTAAACGCCTTAT